GAGAATGGCAGTGCAAAGGCCCTTGAGGCAGCCACGGGCAGACCTGTCAGGGTGCTGGAAGGGCGTGAGCAGGTGGGGTAGAGACCGAGGAAGGAGGTGGTGTGGGGCGGGTAGGAGGTAATGTCTGAGGGGGACTAGGGGCAGGTCACTCCAGTCTGTGGAACCAATTCCAGGGGGCAGCAGGAAACTGTTGGAGGCATTTAGAGAGTCTGGCTGGGGTTAAGTGGGGCCAGCGGAAGGCCCAGTTGAGGGAGGTTGCTGGCTCAGCACAGGTGGGAGCTGGCTGAGGAAGGAGCCCTGCATGCCGGGAGCTTGGAGGCCTGCCCTGGGAACCTTCTTAACTGGGTGCTGTTCCCTCTTCAGGATATTCATTGACACTTATTGAGGGGTACTATGTGCAGTTTGAAGCCTCAAGGGGCACTGGAGGGGTAAGCAGCCCCAGAGGCTGAGGGGCCAGGGAGTCTCCAGAGGCCATTGCAATCCAAGAACCAGAAATGGCCCTGGTGGCCCCCGGCTGTCCTGGTGGGTGCCGAGGCCTGTGGGGGAGGGTGGGGCTGTCCAGCTCCCTGCTCCCCAGGCCTCCTGCTTTCTCGCTTCAGCCTACTCTTTGCCCTGCCCCCAGGGCAGCTTGCCTGCTTGCTGGACGATCACAAGCCTTTCCAGGCTCTTGGCCTGGCTTTCAGACTTTTAACTCAGCCGCCCTTCTGAGCACCCCATCCCAAGGGGCCCAGGTGATCTGGGGCCCACCAGCTCTGGCCTGGAGCCCCCATGCAGGTTGGGTGTAACCCCCCAGGTGGGTGTCCGGCCGCTGTCACTGGCCCAGGGAGGACCTGGGGAGCAGAGGCGACTTGCTATAGTTTTGACTCATTTATGCTGGGGGTGGAGGGAGGGGGGGCAGAGCAGGGTTCCTGGGCCGAGAGCAGCTCAGGCTCCGTCAGCAAAAGCACACACTCAAGGGGCCTGGGCGCTAAGGGGCTGCGACAGGAGAGGATCCTGTCGCCTCTGTCTCTCCCCAGATGGCCTGTGGGAGTGGGGAGTAAGGAAGCCCCTCCTCCACGGTCTTGCCCTTAGTCCTGGGGGGCGGGAGGAGGGGCGGCCAGAAGATGGCCTGGGTTTCCATGCCCTTGTGCTGGAGTCTCCCTTTCTGCAGCCTGAGTTCATTGGAGGCCAAATAATTGGAGTGTTCCCCGTGATGTACTTTGGGGCTTAGCAGGGGTTAGGCCTTCCATGTTTTTATCTATTTGTCCTGATTGGGAAAAAACAAAAGAACAAAAAAACAACAAAACAACAAATACTGGTGAACTCAACGCATTTTAAATCTCTCTTCAGAGAAATTTTTCTTCTCAAGTGCTTCTTTAGAAAATAATCAAAAGTCTTGAACAGAAGAACCTTCCTCTGATCTGCTCACCCACCGATCTGGGCCTCTGGGTCCCTCCCTGGTTCCTCTACGTGCTCTAAATTTTCAGGGTCGCCCGCCTGCCCGGCCCAGCATCTTCCCTGATAGGCTGGTGTTTCTCTGGTGACGGGACCAGCTCCCCGCCTTGAGGCCGGTGCCCTG